TATAGCAGTAGCTAACCTATTTCTTTCATGGTCCGAGGTGATTATCACCACATGCAGGGAAGACAAACTGCCTGATGACATTTCACCCTGTGTGCTGCACTACTAAAAGGCAGTCTGAGACCATGGCAAAGAGGGTCAGACAAGAATCAGCTGGTGGGCTGTTGGAAAATAACCCCTTTGCTAGTATTATCAGCAAGAAATCACTTCCCTGCTGCAGATGGAAACTAAGTGTCACACAACAGACAGAAGACTAAATTTTGTTCATGAGCCTGGGACCGAGATGGTGGTCAGAACCTCTGTCAGAGAGGGACTCCTTCTCCAGACACACAGGCCTCCTGCACCTGATTAACACCACTCACAAGTGAAAACTTCCTGTAGGCAGATAGTTACCGCATAGGTATAATTAGCCCTTTCTTTTTTATTATCTGCAGGGTCAGGACTGCAAATTCACCTCTTTCCCACCCCGCACTCCCTGTGTTAAATGCAGTCCTTCAGGCAGGCAAACCACCCAGCACTCCATCTCTCCTTCATTTCCTCTTCCTCTCCTGCATTTTACTTGACTCCAAAATAAAAAGGGTGGGCAGGGGGGGGAGAGGGCAGCAGGTTAGAGGAAAGCCTGCAGAGGATTCCTCCTCCTCAGATTAGGATTTAATTGTATTCCTAGTGAGTCCCTTCTGGTTGCGCTCGGTCTTTCAGATGAATGTTTCATCAGTATGATTAGGATCACATCCCTCAGTCTCGTCTATTTACACAATCGGTTGTGACAGCTTGGAGTATAGTACTCCCTAAAGGAAATATTAGATACCACCCTATCATTTTATTCAAATCATATTTTGCACTCTGCATTTTCAGCCTAATGTCATTTTCCCCGGGATTACATGTTTGTGATATCCAGCAAGCACTAAAATCCTTCCACTAAGGATTAGATTACTATTTACATTAGCCGCACTCGTATTATTATGAGCAGGGAAATTTTGCAAGGGGAGGAGTGGGCTACGGATAGCTCAAGGGGCTGGGGAATTGGGCTTGTAGATACAAAAAAAAAAGTGAGGCAAACAGTAGCACTAAATGATTAACAGCAATAATAATAATGCACCGATGGCGGCAAAACCGAATTTCAGGAGGTGGCCGGGCGCGGGGGGAGTGCCGGGGGATCCCGTCTCCCTCGCCCCCAGCCCCTCGGCGCCATTCTCTCCCCGGTCCGGCTCCCCGGTGCTCCCAGCCGGTATTCCCTGCGGGCAGGGACACTTTTGAAGCGTAACGTTACCGCAGGAGCCACCGGGGGCCTATTCTCGCCTTTTGGCGGTCGCCGCCGCCCTCAGCGGCGGCTGAGGGGGGGCTGTAAAAATAACCGCTGCCGGGAACCCCCCCTCTGTTAGCGCCGCGCTCGCCTCGGAAGTGGAGGAGGTGGAAAGAAGCGAGCAGGTGGTGAAAAGGCAGCGCTGAGGAAGGTGGAAGGAGAAATTCAGAACGAAAGTAAAACTTCATCACGTTACTCGAAAACACACTGAAAAATAACCTGCTCCCTGCTCCCCGGAGCGCTGAGGCCGCCGCCTGGGGAAGGAGCCCTTTCTCCCGAGCGGACTGGGGAGAAGCCGGCAGAAGGAGAAGTGTTTTGGGGTCATTTCGTTTTCCCGCCCGGGGGTGAAGCACCGACGATACAACGTAGGGGCGAGCTGTGAGGGACGAAGTTTCGTTGGAGGAAGAAAAAAGAAAGAAAAAAAAAAAAAAAAAAAAAAACAGACGGTTGCTCCCGACGTGCCTCTGCAACGAGCACAGGAGGGAAACGCGGTGAGCTGCAGAGTCTACATAACGAAAACGAAGAAAGAGAGACAGACTTTGCTGAGGAGCAGTCACCCCCGTCCTGGGACCAGCCCGTCTCCGCTGCAGCTACTGACCCGCGGGGCGCCCATGCCATTAAACCCAAATAAGTGCTGCGCACGCAGAGAAGGGAACCGCTCCCTCGGCTCAGCTGGGAAATATACAGAAAACGGCTAACTCGCAGGGAACGGCCTCAAATAGTTTAAAGCGGCGGTTCCCCCGTTTCCCGGAGCGGGGAAGGAGCAGAGCATTCCCGGGCCGGCGGCGCCTTTGCCCGCACGAAGCGAAGCATGAGCGGGCGGACTCCAGCCAACGGCCGAAATCCAGATTTTCCTTAACCGAGAACGAAGAGCTTCTCCGGGCACGCTTACAGTTCGCCTCTCACTGCCCACTACCGCGGTGGTGTAACTATTTGTGTTTCTTTTTTTCCTCGAGACCCTGCTCGCCCCCCATCCCCGTGCAGTTGTCGTTCCGAAGTCACACGCAGTTCTCGGGCGCGAGCTGCCGAAATCGCAAGCACGGGGCCGAGGGGCGCGTTTCCTTACAGCGCTTTCTGCCCGCAAGCTGCGAGGCGGAGGTGCCGCGTTTCCCGGCACACGCCCGCCTGGTCCGCGGATGCCGGGGCTGTGGAGGAAGGGACAATCATCCTCGGGGTCGCCTCCTCCCTCCAAACCCGTGATAAAAAGCCGCTCTCCACCCGGAGCCTGCTGTTTGTCTCAGTAAATCACATTACGAAGCAAAGTGCAGGGTTAGTTAACTTTATCTTCTGTTAATGTAAACAAATAAGCATTCAGTTCCTTGATCTTTATTTAAATATAGAGTTGTTTATCAGTGTTATCCTATGAAGATTAATTAGATACCTTTATTCACACGTTGGCGTCTGACACCCCATTTTAGGAATGCATTATAATCACTAGGTGTTAATTGGGGCCAGCCAGGCACTTATGTTTCTATTAAACAGTGTGAGGACTTTTCACAAGTATTCTTTTTTTTACCGTGCGGTGGAAAAATATACATCTTTTAAGAACACACTGCAGCGGCATCGTACTCCTGAGCAATGTATGATCGGTGTTTGCAGCCCGAGAAGGACAGGGGAGGTGCGGCCAGCATGCCACCGCACCCCACCGCCTGGAAACATGGGAGAGCCTGCCTTCGAGAAGGCTTTTCTGGGAGGGGATATCCCCCACCTAAAATAACAAAAAAAATTTAAAATAAAATAAAATAAATAGTGCCCCTAGTCATTTAAAAATTACCGTGAGTTCTGTCCCAAATCGAATGTAACTCCTCGTGCAGGGACACCGATTTGTTTCCCTTGCCAAAGCACAGAGTCGCCGCTTTGTGCCGAGAAGCCAAGAGCTGATCGAAATCTCCTCGGGAACCCTCCACTCTTCACTCTGGGGGCCGGGGAGCTGCCCGGGGGCCCCTGCCAGTATCCCCCGATTGCGTTACCTCCTTCGGGGAGAGCTCCAGCCAGAGCCCCTGGTTTATTTTGGTTGCAGCCAGGCATTGCTAAGTTTAATCCCATTACTGCCTGCATATCCTTAGGAAAGGTCCTCCATCTGCAGGAGATGAGATTCAATCGCTGTGGCAGAAGGGGCTTTCTCCCCAGATAAACGGGCAGGGGAATTTCTTACCGGGTTCCAGGAAGTGGAGGTGGTGGGCAGGGGCAGCCCCGCTGCTGCCGTGGGGGGAAGACGAGTGAAGTTCACAGACACTCCCCGCGACGAGGGTTGAGCTCACACCTCACCTCCTGCAGAGGAGAGGTGGCAGGGGAACAGAGGCACCATCGGGTTTTTGGACCAAAACAGAGGCTCAAGCACTGGGGGGTGGGGGGAGGACGCACAGAACAATGGCAGACCAGGAGAAGATAGAAAAACAACAAAAACCCCACACAGCTATCAGCATCCAAAATTAGCACAGTGCAAGGGATAAAACAGCAAGGAGAAACTTTGCAAGGAGCAGCTAGATTAAAAGGCAATTTAGAGATGAGAGAATAGATTTGAGACAACTTGGCCCCCAAGGATTCTGTTCCCTCTTCCTCACCCCAGCTGGGACACTCGATAAAGGCAAAGAAGAGGCAGAGAGCCACCCCCACTCTTATCCCTGGCACCACCACATTTATTAAAAATTACTACTATGTACATAGAAAACCAAAACAGAACCAACTTTTGTTGGAAGAAGTTTGTGTGCCAGTGCTCTAGGGTTGATCAGTTTAAAATGTCTGAAACTATAGGCAAGAAGAGTGGGTAAATTACATCACTTCCAGTTTTGTACAGGGCAGCTGAAAGTCACTTTACATACACGTAAATAGAAATCCCTTATGTTTTTTGCAATGCTCCATACACTAAGTTTGACTAACCAAAAAAAAAAAACTTTTGAACTTCAAAGCACCACCGGAGGTCCCTCTGACTAAACAGCTATAAGTCAACTATCTATACATTATTCCACAATTTCCTACAGTGTACCTAGACAAAACACAACTGTACAATTTTTTTTTGGCCACCTCAATAAAGGTTAGGCTTTTGGAATGGAGGCTATTTTTTTTTTTTTAATGCAAGTTCTAAACTACGAGAAGTCAAGATTTGGTCATTGTAACCCCATCATTAGCAACAAAACCTTCAAGTCAAAATCCTGCCTGGCAAGCAGGCCTTATTTTGGCCATCTTCTCTGCCAAAGAAAGCCTTAGCTGAGTGATATGACTCAATTCTGTTGCAGACAAGGGTTGAAGAAGCCATCTCAGTCTAAAGCAGAACATAGCATTTGTGCAGCTCCCCACAACTCAGCCCCCTTTCATCAGAGGAGCAGGCAGGGAAGAAAATTAAATTTGGAATCCAACCCCCCCATTTCCTTGCTCAGGAGAGCATAGATTTGATCAGGCCTCTGAGCCAAGCCTAACTGTACACTTTAGTGCCTCCAATTAATAAGCCACATTGTAAAAAAAAATCTAGGCTCCTGCTTACAGCTTCCACATGTGGTTCCTTCTAAGAGAGGGAAAGAACGCTACTATAGTTTGCTCTTTCACTACTTTGTTACCTGCAACAGTCAGAAAGCTTTGGCACCTTCTTTAGAATTGCACACAACAATTCAAGGTGGAAGGCAAGAGTCTTTTTGGCAATTGTAATGCAAAAAAACCAAGGCCACCCTGAAAAAAAATTAGCCAATTGGAATAAAAGGATGCTTTAAGAACTAGTATAGAATGCATAGTAGCCCATGCCTTTTGAAGTGTCTTTGCTATAGTCCTCAGCATTAATGTCCTCACATTTCATAGTTGGGGAATTTTCATTGCTGGAAGTGCTAGGGGAGAACCGTCTTCTCTTACAAGCACCTGTGTAGACCCCAGAATCATTTGAATCTAGAGACTTTATGGAAGGTGGAGTCTCTATCCAGGATGAGCCAATTTCTTCTTTCACCTTCTCCTTGGAAAGCTGGTCTTCAGAGAAACCTGGAGGACTTGTTCTTGAGGTCCAAGGTAATCCTGTTGTCGTTTTTCGCTGGTAAGAGCCCCTGCTCCCCCAGCCTGTCATGGATGGAAATGTCGGGTCAGGGTAGTACCCCAGAGCATGGGATGTCTGAAGTGGGAGGGATTTAATGCCATAAGGGAGCAAGGTGCTAGGAGAATACTCTGTCTCATAGGAGTTCATGTCCAGTTTGTTGGTACTGGGCTGCTGTACTGGAGTAACAAACCACCGCTGAGGGCTGGCTACCTCTTCATTCTGCTGTGGTGAGAGCAAGCCGTTTGTTTGAGGGACAGTCCTTTCACTGTTGTAAAACCTGGCTGGAGGCATGTTGTTGACAAACTGTTCTTGGAAAAACGGTTGCATGCTGTATCGGGCACCAGGGACAATCTGGTGGGATCTAGGAGAATCCGTGGGAGACGGAGTTAATCTGTCATTTTCTGAAGCTGTGTACATGCTACAACAGAAAAGAGAAATACTGAGTGTTGTTCTTTGCAATTCCAGCATGATAGTACAACACAAATGGAAGAAAGAGTTACTACTTAATTAGAATCACGGATAGGTTTAACTAACAGGATGTATGTTCATTTTTATTGATTTAGGAGTTTGTTTTTCTAGTATTACTGCTACAAGCACACACTGTTCTCCACCAGCCAACCTATTTCAAATGATGTGCAGCACCCTCCTCCCAGAAAGCATACTTTTATATAAAAAGCTCCAGTTTTTCAAAAGCCACTTGATGCTACAAAATGACCATTATGCAAGTCCTCTGCTGACAACCTGCAGAAGCTGCCTGCTCAGTGGAGATACCCAATACACTGCCTCCAATCTGCAGGCCAGATAGGCTCTACAGGTACAAATTTTCTACTAAAATTCAGAAGCCTGCTGGAAGACAGGTCAAGACAATACAATAATTATTCAAGCAGATATGTAATGTTTGTAGACAAGACATGTAATATCTTTGAAAGGAGCGCATCAGCTAGCAAAGCTGTCAGTAGAGGTATCACTATTTCTGAATAACTGAAGTAGTGTCTGAAAAAACACTCTTCCACCCACATTTCAGGCCAGAATCATGCCTCCTAGGCAGAGAGCTGCAGGAGAGGACAGAACTGTACTTACGAGTCATAGTTGTCTCTGAAGCCTTTCGCAAAAGGATTATGATCAATTTTGAGCTGGGTAATCTAAAAGTGAAAGCAGAATATAGTAAGATGAGATGTTGAATCCACAAGATGATTTTATTCTTAATTGTCATTTTATACCTCCACACTTACATCAGTGTTCTGATATGCTGTAACTGCTATAAACTGCGTTTCAGGGAAAACAAATGTTTGGGTCTTTGAGGAATCATTCAGATCTTCAACACCATCTTCAGTCACTTCCACTATGTGAAGCCGAGGCTGGTACTTGTGTAGAGATTGCAGTACTATCATCTAAAAGGAACCATGGAAGAGACAAGATCTTTAGATAAACTGAATCTATTTTATAGCCCAATATTTTCTTCCTGTAAATGGCAATCTTTTAACTTGGGAATGGAGCAATTTTAACCATTAACAGGAGATGATTCACAGCTTGTAGCCCTGTTTTGCTAAGGTTACTAATGCGCTAAAATTTGCAAATACAGGAAATCAAGAGCTATCAGGTACACTACCACTTTTTGAGCAACTCCGGAGATAGATATATTGGCTAAAAACAAATACATTCACACATCTATTTAACACTTTTGATTGTCTTCCTAAGGAGAAGCAAAGAAAACAAGATCTTCTTCCCAAGAAGGGAAGAAGTCACAACAACAGTGATCTAGCAGCTCAATTAGATACTGTAAAGCCCCCAAAACCCCCTGGCTGAGCCAACAAGAGCTCCTCAAGTTTGCCTCCCCCCCCTCCCCCCTCATTTACCTGTGCGTTGTTGTTGTTAGCACCTTTATTGTTCGTTAGCTTCAGTTTCCCGAAATAAATCTCCTGCCTCATCCAGTGAGCCCCGGTGTTGGGAGACTCGGGGTGAACGTACACCTTGTTGCCTGGGGAAGATAAACCAGTAATGAGCCCGCCGAGCACAGACGCTTTGTTCCAGCACCGGCAGCTCAAGAGCCGCTGGAACA